CCCCAGTGGCCCCTCTCCTTCTCCAGTCTCCCCCTCTCCCTCGCCGTGCGGCAGGGATATACATGATCCCAATGGCCGCCAGTGCGGTGGCCAACAGGTCGCTCGCTGCCGGCACCGCCACCAGCAGGATCTTCCGCCGGCGGCTGCTGCCATCGGCGGACCCTGGAAGCGCCGCGGCGCGGTGCGACCCGGTCGGAGTGGGGCGCGGAGCTGGGGCGGCAGCTGGGCGGTGGGAGAGAGAGTGGGTAAAGCTGCTGAGTGAAGGGATCTTGGCGAATGGCCAAAGCATGAAGACTAGGGCTAAACTAAGCGAAAACGCTATGGGTCTTGCCACACTCAGAAATGGTGCACTGGTCAAGAGGGGGGTAGGTCGATGAAAACCCAAGTCCCTTGGGGTCCCTGCACCTGGCTTTGGCAGCAGCTCCTGGCTTCGTGCGTCCTGGCGAAGAATGCCGCATCATTAAACCGCACAAGATGGCGCTGTTGCACGTGTCTACCCAGCACGCAAGAACCCCAGAGACTCACGCTTTTCAGCTCTAAACCCCGTGTATAGGCTGGAAAAGAACAGAAAAACGACATAGGGGTAGCGGCTGCGCATCGTCATCGCAAAAAGGGCTCCATGTTGGTGGCACACTTGGGTTTGGTGGTTGCGAGATGACATGAACACATATGAAAACCTGAGGATCCTGGCTGATCTCGTTTGACCCACTCCAGGTACCTCCATGCCGATCCGGAACATTCCCTGGTTCACGGCGGCTGGTGGCCAAGTGCATTCGTGGTCTGGAGAGTCTCTTCTTTTGGGGCTTCACTCGGCTTCACCGCTAGTTCTGACGGTGCGGATTCTTTTTAGCACTGCATGGAGAAAAACACCCCAAGGAAGTCGGTTCTGGATTCTGTAAGCTGTGTGTTTACAGGCTATCCAAGGGTGGGGAAGGTCCCATTCAAGTGGACCTAGAGCGAGCATGATCTTGCAGTAGATCAGCATGGTATTTCGGAGTTGCTTGGGCGTCTTCACATGCACGCCCTTGCTCTAGCCTCCCCTCCTGCCCAAGAGGTGTTTTGGAAACGACCATATACGACCGGAATCCAAGTTGTCCTCCACATCCAACACCCACCGAATGGAAACCAAACTCAGAATACCCAAACACTTCATGGTATATACATCTACATATATATATATATATGGGGTGGTGCTCCTCCATATGCCAGTCGCCGACAGAGGTTGCGCAAGCCAAACACATCATAAAACATCAAACAAACAACAAACACAAACGGTGACATCGCCGGACGATCACCTGCTTGATGGATTTTGCGTGGGCAAGTCCACCAGACTGAGCGACGTCGTCCCGCACGCACAGACGCGAGCGAAGAAACCCCGACCCACGCGACCTCCGCTATGCGTGGTCGGGCAGCACAGCAGGCCGTCAAGCCGGCGACCAAACGTTCAACGGCCAAGACTAAGGACATGGCCTTGTGGCGTCGGGCTCGGGCTCGTTGCAGATTGGACGCTTGGTGTATCTGGGGCTGCGTCATGCATGTCTGGGAGTGTATTGTTGTGGCCGTTCCAGGGCCGGGATGTTTGACTATGGGGTATGCGAGGTATGCTTCGCCTAAGTCGAACATCCCAACTTCAACTGGGCACCTTCCAAAATACAAAAAACAATGTAATAAACAAGCGAGAAGAACCCACCAAAAACGACACCCACAATGCAATGAAACGCCCGTATTTCTGCGGGAGGACCGTCGGGATTCGACTCCAAGGTCCTCCCTATTGGGCCCACGAGGTCGAACCCCGCACGGGCCCCAAAGGGCTCCGGTTCCAAGCGGACTGGATCTTCGGGAACGAATGGATCCAGTGTTGGACCTCATGTGACTGGTCAGTTGTTTATATAGAAATCACTACTCAGTGAGGTTTTCAGGACCAGGTTTTACTGGGATGTAGAGGGACAGCCGATGACGGCCGATATCTCTGATTTCTGTCTTCCGCTGCTTTTTGGTGGAGGCCTTCCAGACCGCCGCCGACCGCGATGCGAACCGCAGAAAAATGGCGAACGAACCGTCCGAGGTTCAAAGAGCATGTTGAAGGTGCCGAACCAAGGCTTTCGGAAGGTCTCCTCATCACCATCCTCGCTGCGGAGTGTGGCTTCGACCGACCCCAGCACCGGCTGAATTGCGTGTGTTTTTCTCGGCTAAAACGTGTGGCACCTCTACTGGGCCTGGGTTGAAAAGATTTGAAGAGAACTGGGTGGAAGAAGGACATCCATGGTTGAAGATTCCGAAACTGAGGTATCACATCCCTGCTTGGTCTCCAGGGACACTCTCCCTTGCCACACCCCGAGATTCTGAGAACGAACAAAGCCATGATGAGCCCGCCAAAATCAGGCTGCCCCAGATCTTTAGCCCCCAATGCTAGACCTGTTGCCGACTGGCATATTTTTACATACATTGGGGTGGTTGATTCAGGGGTCAAAGTAGGTTAATATTCCAGTCCCAAACACATCGTGTCTGGGAATGGAAGTGCACTTTGGACGGCTTCGGAGAATCTTTACCAGCAAGCAGAGCTAGGGTCATGAACCATGAAGATGTCGAACTGGTCTTGAAGCTAGAAAAGACATGAAAAGACGCCGTGGGTTCATGTTGCTCAATTTGAGGAACCAACAATCCAAGTCTCACCTGCTATTTCCTGGACTGAACTGACATGCTTCATGCGGCAATCCAAGTCGCCTAAAAATATCTGTCTGCGCGGACTGAAGGACAGAAGGCTGTGCGGAGCCATCAGCACACGTTGAAAAAGCAAACGGGGCCGTTTACATCTTTGTGGAACTCTTCTGCGGACCGTGGACACGAATCTGATTTTTGGGGAACGAGTCTTCCAAAACGTTTGGCGCTGAGTCGAACCAAGCTTCCTTGCCGATGCTGGTCAATTGGAACTGCAGCTTGGTCGAAAGCGTGTTGATGCTTCCAGTGATCAGCATGCCAGCCACATAGAGAGCAGTCAGCCATAGCGGCGTTTTCCTTATCACAAGAAGAGTTGCTGAACGCGGCTTGTGTATTTTATGATTATTATATGGTATTGTGGTTCCCAATATAGATAGATTTCAGATTTCAGATAGATGAAACAAATGAAATTCTACTGTCAGCGCCGAAAGTTGCATCAACTTCCTCCAGGTATGTTCTCCCCCATGGAACTCCGCGCATCAACTCTCAAAAAAGTCACCTCAACAATTTGCGCCACTGTAACTGCGATGATTTTGTTAACTTTTTGTTCTTGGGATGCGTTTTAGTCACCTCAACTGTGTCAGTTACATGCAGTCTAGCATGTTTCGGACATGTACAGAAAGACATGTGTTTCAAGTCTATGAGAAGGTTCCCCCATGTAACTGCGATGATTCTAGGTGGAACATCAAGAGGATGATGCATGTTGTTTGCCAAAAAAATGCTTTCCAGGATCTGGTAACAAAAGGTTATATCCAGAATATGTCCTGAACAAATCACGGTCAAACCCCACCAGCTCGAGTATGAGTTGAGTGTCCGCTCGTGCATGAAGGTTCTCTTTGACAGTAACCCCCAAAGAGAATGCTGATGACGATTCTTGGACTGGAGAATGCAGCGTCGGGGGAACAACCCTTTGCTTTGTATCAGCAAAGGCTGCGGCCAAAATCCGGTAGAACATCATCCCTTATACTACTAGTAACAAGTGCCTCGCTACTAGTAACAAGGGCCTTACTAGTAGTAACAAGTGTCTTACTAGTAACAAAAAGCTATTAGAATTAAATGAAACATTAAACTAAATTAATAGCTTCTTGTTACTACTAGTAAGGCACTTGTTACTAGAAGCGATGCACTTGTTCTAATCCCCACTAAACTAAACCGTCCATTTGGAAGTTTGGTCCTAGCACACACACACATGGTCGACTGAAAGGAACCTCATGTCTTTTCTTCCTTTTGTCTTCGACCTCTGCTTCGATCTATCCACTCTAGATCTTTATGAACTGTCCTATGACAGATCCAATTCCGATGGACCGAGTAATGATCTCACCCGGGCAAGTTTGCCTTGATATATTGGGGCCCAAGTGATTAACACGACTAACTTTTGGTCTCCTCTCAGCACATCCGGTGCCACCACAGAATTCCTAGCCATGAGTGGCTGAGGCTCTTTCTCCCAGCCATGCCAGGCCACCAAAATGCCGAAGATCATAGATCTTGAGCCAGCCATACAGTACAGAATCTATGGCATCAGCTCTTTCTGTCATGGGGACGTCTATGTGACGTCTATGGCCAACAAAAGAACATCTCTACAATGGCTCGACCCTCCCAAAGACAAGTCAACCCACTGCATACCTCCTCCCAAAGACGAGCGAACCCACCGACCCCCCCATTGGTGCCATCCCTTAATCACTGTGTTCTGGCTTCTCCGAGCTGTGGATGCCCAAGCACATCCTAATTACACTTAATTCCAATTAAATTCTAATAGCTTCTTGTTACTACTAGTAAGGCCCTTGTTACTAGTAGCGATGCACTTGTTCCTAGTAGCGTCCTTGTTCCTATTCTAATTAAATTCAAATTCTTGTTTCCAATCGCTTCTTGTTACTACTAGTAAGGCCCTTGTTCCTAGTAGCGATGCACTTGTTCCTAGTAGCGTCCTTGCTCCTACTCTAATTAAATTCTAATTTAAATATATATATATTGTTTCTACTAGCTTCTTGTTCCTAGTAGTAAGGCCCTTGCTCCTAGTAGCGATGCCCTTTGCTCCTAGTAGCGTCCTTGCTCCTACCCCAGCACCTGCACGGATTAAACAATTACATTCTGATGTATACACATTACATTGGGTACAATATTTTTCGGCATCACACCACTTCGTGGCTGCAGTCGGAGCCCTTCTGGTTGAATGGAAAAAGAACTGTCCGTTCAACATTGTTCCCCAATCCCACCCTGTTGGAGTCTCCCCTTTCGATGGAGACCTGTCGATTCGTCTTCAAACCTGCCCTGAGCACCCTTGCTCTCGGGCGTGCCCCGCCAGCGCTCTGCCTGGAGTAGTTGCTTTTCTCAGCTTTGCCGGGGTCATGTAGGGCAGGGCAAGGAAAACACACACACATACCTGCATCCAATGGGTGTCCAATGGACATCTCTAAGTAGTAGGGCGACCCCTTGGATGGTCCTGGTACATGGAAGTTGGAAGGGCAAATCCACTGGTTTGTTGGAAGAGCTGTAGTTTTACGAGTACCTAGATCTAAAAAAACACGACCCAATTGAAAAACACATATGTAAGACCCTAAATACAGCTTCCCTTTCCTCTCCTCCAATTGTCCCCTGTAACTTTGCTTTCTACTACTAAATTGCCCCAAGGTCACATTTAGGGGTGCGGTCCTTTTATTAGTTGCCCATCATTTGCCCACCTAAAATACCACCAATCATACCCCGAACCAGCGACAAGCTGCATCATCACGCATGTGCAACCTTTCCAAAACACATGGAACTGCAACATCACCTTTCAAAATCTTTGGTTGTTTGTCTGTGGAAAGTTTACAAGCGAAGAATGTCGAAGAGGGCTTTCCAAATAGAACAGGAAGACCCTTCGATCTGGAGGTGTTGTCCATTTCTGATAGGACTTTAGAACCCGCTTTAAAAGGAAAAAGAACAACACTTGGTGGGGTGTCTTTAAATAGGTTTAAGGGATTAGTCTTTCAATGTTGGCCAATTCAAATCTGCAAGTGAGCACACTTGCCAGTGGACATCTCATGACATCTCACTTGTATTTTTGGGCCTACTTTGGGGTGTACAAGGGGTCCAGTCTCAAGCGTTGGTAATTGTATTGTCATTCATAATTAAAAAACCTCCCACTCATGTTCCATGGAAGTGGATGGCATGACAATTCGCACGTCCCTCTCATCACCAGTCATAGCTCGAGGTCAAAACCCTGAAAGCCCTGACCGCACCCAGCAACATGAGCAACATGCTCTGTTTGAAGACACCACTTTGACACCCAAATCCAGGTCTCTAATCTAATCGAACCCTTCAATCAAATGATCAACCAAGTCTAACATCTCCTCCCCTCCCAGCACTCCCAGACCACTCCTGACCCATCTCCCACCCAACACAACCACTCGTTTAGGCCCCCCCCGTTTCGCGCCCCGCCATCTTCGCATGCGGCACCAAGGGCAGCGTTTCACCGAGCCTGAGCAAATCATGGAAACGACGTGTTCACGCAGATGAAAACATCTACCCTTTGCAGATCAACACCGTAGAGGTACCTTCATGTCCTTTTGTTCAACACATCTGAACACAACCAAATGCATAATTATCGTGAATAATATGATATATGATGATAGATTATGCTTAAGATGTTTTAAGATTGTCATAAGTTTGATTTTCGCCTTCAGCAAAATCGTGACTCACGGTGATCCTCCGTCTCCCACCGTCGTTTTCTCTCCGCCCGTCGCTCTCCCCGCGGTCGCGGCAAGACGTGCACCGCCGTCTGCAGCGACGAGGTCTGCAGCTTGGCTTCGCCGCGCAACACCTGGGTGGTTCGGAACGGCTGGGGCTGGTCGGTGACCATCGTCTCGAGTGGTGAAAACTTCTTGCTTTGAAGGCAGCTGCTCACAGTACTGGCTGTCTGTGAGGCTTCAGTGGTCGACTCGTTTGTCTATTCTGGTACTTCAATGTACTTCATATCTCACTATGGTTGACCAGTTACATACATTCTCGCGTGTGCATGTATTTTGTATGTTGGACCCTGACCCCACCGGCTAAGCATGGCCTTGCTGGGACGTCAAACGAGGAAATCGTTTCAGCAAATGGCTGCCACCTTGAAAGGGTTGCTTTCTCAGTGGGGTTCCAGCCAAGCAACTCGCCAAACGTTCAAGAGGAGGCGGCCAGGGAGCTCCAAGCCTGGACGGGACACACCGTCTCTTTCTCCAACCCGGGTGACACGGTGATACAGTACCCAGAGATACCCAGAGACTCCATGGGACTGCCACATATGCCGATCAGTTGGGGTGGTTTGAGGGGTCAATGGGGCGGCATATATGGCAGTCCCATGGGTCGTGTCTGGGGTACAGATCCGAACGTATGCTGACGGCAGATCCTGTTTGCGAGGTGACCACCTGTTTGTCTCAGCCCAAACTTCCAAAGGGTCTGTTTAAGGAAAGGCAACTTACCAAGGTCATTGGTTGTTGGAGTCCCACATTTTGAGAGTCCAAGCGCGGATGGTTCAACACCTACAGGCCTTTGAGGACTGTGGATACATGCAGTGAGTGACCCACGGCCGTCACTCAAGACAGTTGAAGGCTCGAGATAGTCAGATAGTCCATCGCAAAAAATCAGTGAAAAAAGGTCCTCCACTCAGCGGAGCTAGCATGTTCAGATGCTGGGGATCACATCGCATTCGGAATTCACCGAAAGAATGAAGATAGAAACTGTCATGCCACCCCAACTGCAAAAGGTGTCACTGTGTAGCATCCCAAACTGGGAGCTGAAGGCGTTGATGTACCTGAGTTTACCACACGATGCTTCTTGGACCAAGGGCGACAAAAGGACTTGGGCGTCTCACATGCTCATAACAAAGCCGTTGATAAAGTTGTCTCTGGGTGTGTGTCTCTTTTAAAAACACCATTTATGAGTTATATATATAAAGAATGAACAAAAACAGGGGGCACAATCATAGTGATCCCCAAATAGAGAGATAACGGTGTCCAATACATTTTTAGCGACTCCTACGTTTCTATCTATTTGGGTCTAGAGTCTATACAAAATAAGAACCACAATCATTCAAGAAAATTCATCATCTGGACCCGGTCTGGACCGGCTCCCCCCCCGCCTCCACTGACTTGCTCCGGAGGGTAGAGCTTCCTCGGGCCTGCCGGAGCACGGCGGAGCGGAGGGCGGAGCACAGCAAAGCACTGAGAGAAGATGTCTCACTCGAAACATGTGGGGGGGGGGCGTTCTGTCCATTCAATGGTCCAATGGTTTCACTACACGGGATGGAAGCCCTGAAATACGGGGCTTTCTGGTTGCTTTGGAAGCCCAGTTCGCCATTGACTCGCATGGACTTCCGCAGAAGCGCCCAGGAACCGAAGCGTGATCCGCTCGGACCATCCAAACCACCCGTGGACACCCTGTCATCCCTCCGTGCCTCCTCTGTCATCCGCAGGACTTCCTGCCCCGAAGGAAGGAGCAAAACGTCGTCACACGAAGCCGGCACACGCACGTGTGCTTCGTGAAGATGCGGGAGACTGCTGGGAGGCAGGGTTTTCTGATCTCCTTGGTTTTCTTGGTAAATCCATAGTATATCGCACGGTATTTCCTGGCAAAGGACCACAAGTATCAGCTGCAAACATGGCCACCACCAAATACGATGATCACCATTGATGCAAGATGACCACCACCTGTCGTTTCACAGAAATGGAGCCCAAGGGAAGATCGATCGTCACGGGTTTGCTTGGCAGTAGCGAGAAATGAGAGCAGCCAGGAGAATTCACATGGAGAAATCACATCAAACGTAGCGCGGCTAAACCCCAAACCCTTGCCCCAAAGATCCCAGAGAATGTGACTCACAAGTAGGCCGGACTTTGGTGATGTGGCCTTGAAGAGCGCAAAGGCTTCATCCAAACCTCTCCATTTAGACCCCCAGTTCAACCCCCTGCACGAGGAGCAATAGACTAGAACTACCCATTGGTTGGGGTCCATGGGAGTACAATGTTTCCGATAACATCTGAACAATTGGTCGATCACGATGTAATTGTTTACAATGATGGCTATTATGATGATTTGGTTTCAATTATGGACAATATTCTGATGCACGTGTGCTTCTGAAGGGTCACAGGTCGTCGCTCTTCAGCCCCACCAGCTGGCTTTGTTAGCCAATCCGCCGAGCAACGTCATGACGTGACCACGACCTAAACGAGCACCCTATTTGGACTCGGACCTTCGACAAAAACCGATGAAAAAAACACCCAAACAAACAAAGTTTAACCATGTTTAACATATTGTTTAACATCCTGAAACATGTGCCACATGGGGTGTGTTGGTTGTCGGCTTATATAAGACTGAAGAGATCCTTTTTCACATCCCTTGTCCAAAATCCATGTGCCGCTCCCGTTCCAGCGCCTGGAATTGCTTGGCTGGCCAGCACGGGCACCTGGCTGCCATTGAAAATTGGTCAGTCATCCTTGAGCAATTGCAAAAGAACATCATCGAGGATCATTTCAATCACAGGACAACCATCCAACAATGATCAACAATGTTGGATGATAATTTATTGTCGTCTCATGTCTATGATGTTTCCCAAACATAAGGGGTCCTTCTGAAATGAGCGACATGTCCAAAAGATACGTATCGCAACCAGTCACAAGACGGGGTGGGTTGGTTTGTTCGTCCCATCCAGTGAGTGGATGTCCTGGGCACCCCGACTTCCTCCAATAGGCACCCCTTTGTGACTGCTGGAAGGTGCTTCTACAAGGAACATCACACGAAACAGAATCCAAAATGACTGTGCCTTGTGCCTTCACACACGAAGTCCCTGTTGAAAAAAAACGAAACCTCCGGCCATCACTCAGTAAACTAGCCATTGTGATCAATGGCGACTGACTGGCCCGACAAAAGCACCTGCAACTCTGGGACGAACGGTTTAAACCATGTTGGTTCCCTTAAGAAGTTGGTTGTGGTCGAGAATCTGTAGCTAAATGACACAAACCACAACAAGCACTTAATAATTTATTAAATTCACAATCATCATTATATAATCATCAATCAGCGTCTCCAAAGAGGCTTGAACATGCTTTAAATCCTCTTGGAAACACCAATCACTCTATTCTGCCGTCAAGACCTTGGAACTGCAATGACGGGCGAATCTCTGCGCATTTTTTTATCGACGTTCCATGTTGCCACCACAGAATCTTCCTAGTCCTAGTAGGGCGCCAACCACCTCAGAAGGTAGTTAGACCTCCAGTCGACCCTCTAAACACTGCAGCTCAGGAGGTTTGTGTTTAGCCCATAATCTGCCTTTTTGCATCAGCACTACCCCCCCACAACCCTGCCAAGCATCCACCTGCCAATCTTCTTTAGACTTAAGAATCCTGATACAAAACCCCAAACACTCCATGTATGGCATATATACATACGTGAACCCCTGAAATCAACCACCCCTGGCCTGATCGCTTTTCATATGCCAGTTCCAGACAGGTCGTGTTGGGACGAACAAACCGACCCACCCCTGTCTTGTGACTCCTGGATCTTAGTCTTGATTCTTGATCCATCTTGTACCCAGCTCGATCCTCCACACGACACAACCCCGCCTCGGACACACCTGTCGGCTTCAATCCTCCACACGCACGCGCCAAGGTCTCAGCGAAGCCTTGGGGCAAGACACGACTCTCACGACCTGCGCACCCCACAAAACATTTAAGACATTGAAATGACGGTGTTTCTTGCGTTCCACACACAACATACTAAAAGTCTCAGAAGAATGTACACATACCAAGCAAAAAAGGTTTCCGCATGCCCCGAAGTCCCCCCAAAACTGCCCAAAATCGCACTCGCGCTCGCTTGGTTTGAGACACACGATTCGTTTTCTCTGCTGACCTCGTCACCTGAGAGCCCGGGCCACGCAAACCCAAGGTCTGAGCCCGGGCGAGGAGCAACCCCACCGAGCCCTTGACGATGTCCTGAGAGCCGGGCGAGCTCTGAACCGAAGGACGACGGAACGAACCGAAGGACGACGAAGGCGGTTTCGTCTTCTTTCCTTCCCGGGCCACGCGTGGTCACACTGATTTGGGGTCTCTCGCCCGGGAGATCTTCTTTGAAGGGGGACGCTTTTTGTTCAGGCTGAAACGACACAGGTGGCATGCTTTTTGAAAGCGACCCCCATGAGTGTGGAACTTGCCGAACTCCACCATCCTCGGAATCTGATCGGGCACCGGGTAGGCCCGTGAACGGTGTTCGCCGGACAAAAACACCACAGTGGCACTTCTCGGCACCCACCGCTGTCCCAGGCGCGTAGCCCAGTACAACTGCAGGG